TGCGGGGCGTGGTAATATTCTCTCCATACAAAAAAATGTATTCAATCATTGGCAAAAAACACATTTTTCTACATAATTTTTTTGCAATAAGTAATGTCATTTATTAAGAAATAAATTATTATTATTTAGCAACTCTTACATAGCGAATAGACACGTTAGGGTGCATACGTATGAACGTATGCAGCGTTACCGCTTGAAAAATTGCATCTAGGGGTCAGAAATTATTTCACCAGATTATTCACATCGGTTCAGCGTTCCTATGGTCCAAACTGTAACAAAAAGTTCACTTAAAATTGGAATTTGTAAGCTTACGAATGAGATAAAGGCAATCTTTGTAACAAGAGCAACGAAGATATTTTATAAAATTGAATTTATGGGTATCAAAAAAAAACATTAGTTAAAAAAATATTTGATGTTTTTTACACACATTTGAAAGAAATTAATGTAATTCTTGATTAATGATAAATTAACAAGTTTATGACTAATTGAAAAATATATACTTATTTCATACTTTTTATATTTATATTAACATCCTTAAAAACGAATTAAATTATAAAAGGTCAGTATACGTTCGTAAAATATTTGGTGTTGTGTTAATACCGATCGTTAGTTGTTTTTTGTTTTCACTCACATACAAATTAAATTCGATTGTTATATTTATTGCTTGATCATTTGTTTATTTTATGCAAAAAGTAAAATTTTGTTTAACGTATATATGAATTTATTTAAGATCTTTTTGATATATTTTTTCTTCTTCGATTTCATCGATAAGTATTAAGAAAACAAGAAAGTGAGATTAAAAATATGATTTTATACGGTTATTATTGAAACGTTGACAATTGTTTTCGCAATAATAATGACACTAGGTATTGATAACAAAAAGGAAACGTATGAAAAATAAAAATAATAAAAACGATTATTTGTAATAATAAGTAATTTTATAATACATCATAGAGCAAGATATACCGAACAAAGCCATATATTGTCTGTACTAATTATTTATTTGCAAGATAGAAGTTCATGTTTTTAATTACAGTTTTCATTCTGATTTTAGGCGGGACTGTATGTATGTCATTAAGTATGGGCAGGTACCACTACGTGGCGTGTTTATTATGCATCAGGAACAACCACTTAAACTCAATATATTCGATCGGCAGGTCATTCAGACTACTTCTTTGGATTTACCGAGCGTTCGCTTTGTCGGGCATTTTGCTTTTATTTTAATTGTACTTGGACATAGAAAAATACCACTGTCGTTTTATGATATATAGAATAATCCGCAAATTACAACCTACTTCAATTAAACTGTTTTCATCTTTTTTTATTTTGATGATACTTAACGTAATGATTGATAAGTATATTTTCGAAGTCTTTTACAGTTTTTCTTATCATGTTAGTGGTAACAAATGGAATAAGATTTACCTTGGCTACCTATCTTGTAAAAAATAAAAATTAATTCAATTAATTCATTCATTAGAAAGTGTAAAATAATTATTTTATGCATAGCCTTCGTAGGCTAAAAGGTGTTCTAATAAATTGTTTTTTCTTCAGCGTTCAACAAAATGTATATTTTGTTCTATCTTTTTTTGCCAGAAGTATTAATTATTCCGCAGAAAAAATATCTGTAGCGTAAAAAAGTTTATAAAATTACGCCTATATTCATTTAATAAGTATTCAAAATTTAAAGAATATCGGTTATTTGATTATACAGCGTAAGCATATTGCGCGCAAAAATCTTGTCACGAACAATCAATACATCAGTTCAAATTTTGAGCTCCGTTTAACGCCAATTCGATAATCATTTGTTTGAAATTTATTTATCACGATTGCACATTTTATTGTCGCAATCATATACTTGTTAAATAACAGTATTGCTCATTTTTTGAATGTATATAACAAGGGCAGTTATCATTTACCAACATTCCATTAAAATTTTTATAAAAGTATTAAAAGAAAAAGAATTACTCCCGTTTCTTCACACTATTGTATATGTTGTTATTTCAATTGCCGTAGTAAATTTATTTACCAATTATACTAATCAATCAAAACAAGCTACTTTACTTTATGGTCATTGCAAAACTTCAAATTGATGAGACTACTCGTTTGGCCCATCGTTATAATAATCAAGACGTTCATTTTTATATATAATATAAATATATTAAATTAATGTTTATATCATATATTAAGCAAAAAATATTTATTAAAGAATTATTCAAGTTTAATTATCTTCGATAATTGAAAAAATAGAACTTTCTTATATATTTTTTTCCAAATAGACAGTGTTTAAAAGAAATTTAATTTGATACGTGAAATCATTAGTTCTGAGCCGCTAGAAATGCCTAAAAATTAGATTCAATTCTTTTCTTACAAAGACAAATTTATGTAAAATGGTCATAGCAGAAAACGATTTATCACTGATAAATTATATCAAGTACCATAATAATCTATGGAGTAATTAAATATGCATAATAAAAATATATAACTAACATACAAAACTAATAAAATGAAATTAACCCATCAAGTCTTGAAAGGACAATTTTTTACAACAATTTTTAATGTCTGGATTTTTTGTGAACATGGGTTGTGAAAAATATGTGATAGGTGTTTGATGTAGAATTTAATGAACTTAATGATATAATCTGAATCATTCATCAGATCCTTCGAAAACTACCTGTCAAATTCTATATACGATTTTTATTAAAAAACAAGGTTTAAAAAAAATCTTTGATTCATCTCAATTTTTCACATTGATGTCATTTAAATTTTCGTGTGTGGAGTAAAAATATTGCGTCCTAAAGTCCTGAGTTTCAGTTTTATAGTGGTTGAAATACGCAGAAATCGTCAAAAACTTTCAGCATTTTTTACTTGAAAACGATAGACTTTCGAAAAAAATTTTACTGAAGAAAAAGTTTTTAGAATTGATCAGAGAACATGTTAGAATTTCTTTCAGAATTTTTGAAAATTTATTGAATTTTCTAAAATTGATAAATTCAAAGTGAGTTTAAATTAGCTACAAGAATCTACATTTCTGTTGCAATATGTGAGGTAAATGAGAGAGATGGAGTCAGATAAAACATACAGTTACAGCACTCTCATTCGTTTAAAAAAGAATATAGATATTCTATATAAAGAATCTATATGAACTTTATCTAGATTGAATGTTAATTTAACGGCTTTCTTGAATAACTGCTTCATTAGCATAGAGTGTTATTAAGCCTGAACAGTTACAATAATTTTTCGAATAGTTTTTGATTACGAATTGACAATTTTTAACGGTATTCTTGTCAAGAGACAATACTAAAGTGAACAGCTTATAAGAATGAAGAATAGGTTTTAATGAAACACAACACTGTTCAATGATTATTTGTGATAATGACAGCGATAAAAGCAGGGCTATGACAAATTCACCGCTAATAAACTATCTTGGCAACTCCCGAGTCTTCTTGGAATGTTGAATTCTGTGTTGAGTTATCTCGGTGTAGCACAGGTTATCCAAAAATGGCCGAGCTCCAATATTCAGGGATGATCCAAGGAAGGAGAGCGAGCTGATGTCTCAGTCTCAATAATGAGACACTATCAGAGACGCGGTCACTTGATCAGAAATCCGTTCCCTCAAGTAGCCCAAGAGGGTGGCTGTCGCCAAAAGGCTTTGACGCTGCGAGAGCTCTTCCTCACGGAAATTCTTGCCATGGATAAAGGCTAAAACTCACGCAGTAGAGATGGTCGTTGGATGCAGTTCACTGTATTAACCAATGACATTACACGAGTGTTGTCCAAAACTTTGATACTTGTTAAGATCTGTGGTAGTGGAAGTGAATCCTAGTTGAACTTTGCTGTAAGGTAAGTTTACTTGCCTTGCAGCAAAGAAACAAGACTAAAATAAAACAAATAGGAAAAAGAACATTCCTCGACAATCTAACAAGGGGTAAGATGATTCGAGAACCAGCGAGTTTGTGAATTCCAGAATTCAACAACATTTTACGGAATTTCCGTAATTGTCAAACTTCTGAGCAACGAGTTCGCTTCATCGCATGTATTTAGCCAACACTGTAGCGAAGTTGCGAACAATTTATTTCCAAAATTAGAATTTACTTAAATAAATCCTTGAAAAGTTATACGTACAATTGATTCAGTTATATAAATTAAATATGTGTGTACCTAACCTATCAATGTGAATTGTATAAACTGAATTTTTTAAAAATTCTTTTATAAATATATATAAATATTTATATTTATGTTAAATTACTCGACTATTTGAAAATTGAAAAAATACATTCTCATTATAGACGTTTCTTGCTCAGTGGTTGTCGACGAGGGCTCCCCGCATCGGAACAATCATTGCGTCAGTTGAATTTGCTCGTATTTTGAGAGTTATAAATATAAATTCAATTGAAAAAATTAGAAAATACTCGATTGAAGCGTAAGATATCTAAATTTTCTCTAATTTTTTTTAATACTTTATTGTTTATCATCGTCCTAAAAATATACGTATAAAATTTGAAGTCTTAATATTTATTAGAAAAAATTATAAAAGTGATATAGTGGCCCAGCATCGCCCTAAGGCATCAGTATTTAAGCATATTTTTATTAAGAATTTTTATAAAAGTGTCCTTACCTATTACTTTGAATTTCTTGACAATATGTCATCCTTTACGTATTCCTCCATATGAAACCAATTTATCGACTTTGATCTGTGTGTCTGATTCGTATCTTTTCTATTTCGGTGTGTAGATATTTTATGGTAAGTGTGGACTGTTATTGGCGTTAATTATGATGTATATAGGCTGCAAATTTCTATTGTGAGATAACAAGACACATGCACTCTTTTTGACAGAGACGACTATGCTAGAATATCTTTTAGATTAAAGTTTCACTTCATTATTTAAAATCTAATTATAAGTTAAATAAGTTGTGAACCGATAAGTTTTTAAACATTTCTATTTAATGATAAATACTGCGCTGAATGTTGTTATACTTATTTGTTTTGCTAAATTATTTATTTACCACAATATATTCCAAATATTTAAATTACACGAAAATACAAATAAATATTTTTATATTTATTAACTTTAATACCATCAACATTGACTGAACATCCATAGTTTTATTGCAAAATACAATTGTTTTCTGTTACTGTCCGCTTTCAGTTCGTTTGATATGTATATTAGTCGCTGATAGTTCTACAGAGGCATCTCTAGGTGGCAAGTATCTGGAAACGAAAGTAAAATTTGACAGTTAATTTTAACAAGTAATTTTAATACCTGACGATACCAATCATATAGTCTGGTAAAATATAAAAAGAAAAACAGATATTTTTGAACGTACTCTCGTATTATTGGGGAAACATGATCAGGATTAACTTTGCCAGTTTCTTCAGTTTCGCCGACAAGCCAGCTAACGAAGCAAGCAACGAGAATCGTAATGATGCTGCCAATAAGCGTGAAATACAAAATGGCTATTTGAAAAAGTATCATCGGTTGGTCGGCGTGTCCAAAGTCCGAAGTGATGGGTGGTAAGGTCGTTATCTCGGATCCCTTGAGAGTTTCGTTAAGAGGATATGGGCAATTATCGACAGAGGTGGGCAGGGCCGGGTTGTGTATTCGTTTGTGCATAATGTGCCACTGAGTTCCGCCGACTAACCAGGCCATGAACAGCAGTGCGGTGCAAGCGCCGCTGATTGCGCCTTTTTTACCAACGCATGGGAATAACATTCCCAGAATGAATAATCCCAAAAGTGGTCCCTCTGTGGCACTGTTCAAACTGTGGGCCATCTCAAATACTGTGCCCAGCCGCTCGATAATGAAGATCAGACCGATAGTCATCAGGCCGACGATGAATGATGTTAACTGCAATTGAAACGTTAATTTTTACTTTACCTTCTTTTAATTTCTTAATTTATTTCTTAAATATTTAAAATGCCGTACGAACTTTCATAATATTAGCTGCTCTCGCATCTTTTCTCGGACCATCACACATCCAACGGTCTATAAAATTTTCATAAATAGTTCCAGATAAAGTATTAAGACTGGCGCTCATCGTCGAAAGTGCAGAACTCATTAGGCCAGCCAGAAATATACCAGGTAGTCCGAACACGTGACCGGCAATATCCATTACAAAGTAAGGCAAAGTTTGGTCGGTCCGTTTTACTAACTTCGATAATAAAACTTGTGAAATGTGCAGATTTTGTTAGATTTAAATCAAATGAAAATCATGTGGTGTAGATGATATTATATAATTATATTTTTAAGTGATTAGATAGAATACATTAAATTAAATTTGAAAACAAATTTTAATTACTTGTGCTTTGTATGGGTCGCAGTCATGGTAATGAGCGTACATAACAATTCCGGCATAAACACAACCAACTTGCAACATAGCCCATCCTATTGAAGTCAGTAAAATGGCTCTATAAAATATAAAACGAAAATTACTGGTAACAATCAATTTTATTAATAAATTAAAAACTTTTAAATCTTACTTTTTGACGTCAGACTCCTTTTCGATAGCTAAATAACGTTGAATATATTTTTGACCTAAACCGAATCGACTAAGCATGGTGAATGTCATTCCAACGGACATAGCCCAAAACGTATTTCTATCTAATGGATTTGGATTCATACTATAAAATAATGACATATACATTATGCCATATGTGCAATTAGTGAATAGCTTAGATATATAATTACTCAAAAAATTTTATTCGTCCTCCTTTCTCTGCGATTTTCCATGCATTTTCTAAACCGCCAACTGCCATCAAACCTAAAGTTAACACAGTAGCCAAGCTACTTATAGTAAAAATAAACTGTAGCGTATCCGTCCATACTACTGCTTTAATTCCACCCTATATTTTAAGAACATAATAATGTTGCAAATAAATATAATGAATTTTTATACAAATACTCAAAACTTACCAAGGTTGTATAAATAATACAAATAGTACAGAAGAATGGTGTAATCACATGTAAATCAAGACCAGTGACTTGTGAAAAAGCAAGTGCAGGGATGTAAACGACAACTGGGATGTAGACAAATAAAGAAATAGTATAGAGAGCCGAAGCAAAAACTCGAATTGTTTTTGAAAATCTCATTTCTAAGTATTCATGGCAACTGCATACTTGGAGTTTATGAAATACTGGCATTGTAATATATGCTGACGCTAATCCTATCAAAAGAGCTGCGATTGTTGCTGCAAAATATTGAGTGCCATGGTAATATACTTCGGTTGGTACACCCAAATATGTAATTCCTGACAAGAAACTTGAGAAATATTTTTATCAGTAAAAAAGTTATATTTTTAATGAAAAAAATAATTCAATGATGAGTAATAAACTTAATAAATTTCTTAAATTTTCCAAAATTTCCGATACTAGAAGTATTGTACAATAATGATACATATGTAGCAGTATTTACAAGAGATAAAGATCTAAGAAAACATGTGTAAATGTAATATATTAGTATTAACCGATTTATAAGATTTTATAAGCGTCAATTTTTCTCGGTACTACAAGAAAAAAGATAATTTTGAACTGTTTTTCTTAGCACACGACACAAGTTTATTAAACAAATTTTTTTAAATTTATAATAAAAAAAAATACATATTATATTTTATAATCATACCTTGCGAGAATGCTGATGGCGACAGGAAAATAGTGCATATGCTTCCCACCGTACAAATATTCAGAAGTACTGTTTTGCTTATCAAATATAGCAAAATACAAACCAACGAAAAGACTCAAACTCAAAAGTAACCCAAACAAGTAATAGTCCGACCATTCAAACGTTAAAGGATTTAGTTGTACTGTTGGTGCGAAAGTCGACACTGGAAATTTCATTTTTTACAGAAATAACTACTAATTACTTTTTAAAGTTAAATTTTCAATAAAACAATTCAAACACTGATGTAGAACTATCTTGACCGGTTAATGTAAGACGTTGAATGACAGTGGAATACTAATTCATTAGAGCACATATGACAAGATAAGAATATTTGTACGATTGCTAAATTTAAATTCTGATGAACAGGCTCAAGAAAAGTAATGAAACGTCATTTTCCTGATTCGTAATTTATTTGTGTCTTACATTGTATAATACCTTTATTAGGTTTAGATAAAATTTCAAGAATTTTAAGCTCTTTCATAAAATATTATAAACACAAGCTAACCGCATACGTCAAATGCATTAAAATACAATTTTAAAAAATATGGTTCCTAAAGGGCTTATAAGATTTTAAAGAATATGACAAAATCTAAATGACGTTTACGATAAGTTTTACAAATATAAGTAATAATGAATCTATCTATCCTTACATTACTGGCTTATAAAAATAAAAAGCACTTTGTTTGCAAATTCAATTGTTGAACTAAAAATCTGCTTATTAGTTTATTAATTATAGTAATTTCTTTTTTTCAATGTGTCTGGCATCTTTCATTGTATTACCAAATACAATTTTTTGTGGTAATAAACTATAATATAAATAAAATCCGTTTAATACTGTCTACATCCTAAAGTCTTAAATAAGCATTATAATTTCAAAATGATTGCGCATAATCAGTTCAAGTGAAAAACAACAAGATCAGAATGACATAAATCTTATCTTGGTAGATATGAAAAATCACAAACTATTTTATTATTGGTGAAAAGTGGTTTGGATTTACTTTTGATATGTCGGTATTTCCACAATACATATTCATTATCGTAATATTTAGTTTTTATGAGACCAACACTTTTCTAAACGATAAATTCTCCTATTCTGATAATATTAAAAACATACTTTAACTCATCTACCTATTCCATCATATGCGAGATCCAAACCAAAAGAAAAAATGGTATTTTGTAATAAAGAACAAAATTACAATGCTACGCTATATGTTTTTGTAATACAAAATTTATTCACAGTGTTATATAACCTGGCACATAGCAAAATATCTTGATTTTTGCATTTGTAAATTAGGATATCTCGAGAACCTTAGGTGATGGATTAAATGAATTATGGCATAATTCTGAAGTTAAATTCGGATTCAGCATTTCAAAAACCTATGGAGATATATTATTGCATTTGTGAGTTTTTTCCATTTTTAAAATTTGTAGGCATTTGTTATTTGTTAAAAATGGATGTTAATATTGTTAATGCAATAAAATGAACAACTCTTAACTGCATGTCATATTGAAAGGTCAATAGGTCATAGGAAAAAGTCAAAATCAAATAATACATTTTTTATTAGTTAATGTTTATATTCAAATTATGCAATATTTTTCATACTTTAAACAGCTGCTTACATATGCCAGTAAAAATAAAGCAAACTGCTAATTAAGTTTAAAAATAATTAATCAATTAATAGAATTCTATCGACCTTGGTTATTACATAAAGAATGTCATGTCTAAAAAGCTGTGATATAATAACATTTACATTTTTAACTGACACGATTTTTAAATATTATTTATAATTATCGGAAATATAGAATACCATAATTTGAAGTTATTTTGTAACTTTCTTATGACATTAACTTATTACATCTCACTTGTAATAATAAAATGTGCATTTACTTATGTAAATAACACGGAATATCGTGGTTTGTAGAGAATTTATTTGGTCAAAGTAGTACTAAACTAAAGTGAGAAACAAAAATTAATACATTAATTTTTGGAATTGTGCAACATTAATACACGAGTTTTTCATCGTTCATTCATGTTGCCATTTTTCTTAGCTATTGACTTAATATTTCCACGGCTTCTCAAATAGCTCTTTATTTCAGCACAAAGGTGTCGTTTTATACATTCTAGATTTTGCACACAGGCAAAAACTGTAACAGATCTCACTTTTTTCTACATTCACGGCAATACTTCGTCTATTGCTAAAAATATGTATAGTATATCATAGTTATATAACGCAAAGTATTTGAACATTTTTAAAGGCATTTATTATTAACGATAATATTAAAATGTACAACAAAATAATAGGAATTTATGATTCATAATTATTTCTATCGAGTTTCGCTCATTAACATCAATTATAAAAATCATTTGACATCCATATTATAAACTTCAATAATCAAATAAGCTGGTGTTAAATTAAGCAAAGACTTGAGTCACCTTGTGCAACGCAATATTCTTCACATCAATTAAATTGTCTAGTTTTTATCCTGATATCAGACTTTTTTTTAATGACTTCAATTGGAACTCCTACGTATATTTTATCTTGCGGCAATAACCTAAAAATGGAAAAGGATCCAATATTACCTTATTATTATCTATCCGTAAATTTTAATGTTTTCAAATGTAAATTAGATAAATTTGTTACCTTCGTATGATCGGGGAAAAATGATCAGGATTTACTCTTGATGTATTCATTTCTCCACTAAAATAACTTGTAATAAGACCAATGGCAATAGTTATTATTCCACCTATAAACGTATAATAATACAGAGAAATATGAAAAATAATAAATGGCTCATCCTCAACTGATATTGAAGATGAAATTGTCATATTGCTTAGTTCAGTTTCATTAAGGGGATATGGGCAGATTTCCGTAGACGTTGGAAGATTTGAGTATCTTATTCTTCCATTTAAGATGTACCATCGTGTCATACTAACGAACCATGTCATAGATAAAAAGCTAAAGCAACCACCAAAAATGGCACCTCTTTTGCCAATGCCAGGAATAAATAAGCCTGACAAAAATAAACCTAAAATTACACCTTCTACAGCACTGAAAAGTGACATAGCCATTTCAAATACTGTGCCCAAACGTTCAATAATAAAAATTAAGCCAATAGTGATGGCGCCTATAATAATTGATAATACCTATAAAAAGTTAAATAAGATATATTAAATTTTTTGTAAAGTCGAATTTGATATAAGTCAAACGTTGCATGATGCAAAAGAAAAACTGATTTACTTTCATTACATTTGCAGCTGTAGAATCTTTTTTGTGATTTTCCGGTATCCACTTATCGACAAAAGTACTATAAATCAGACCTGATAGTGTGTTTAAACTAGCACTCATTGTAGATAATGCCGAACTTACAAGACCGGCAATAAAAATACCTGGAAGGCCAAACAAATGTCCAGACACATCCATTACGTAGTAAGGTAACGTTTGATCACTTTCTTTGATAATCTTTTAATTGAAAATAATATTTACGAATTATAATTGTGAATATAAGTGGCTGCATTTTACTCATTAAAAATCGCAACCTTAGCTTTTAATGGGTCACAACCGTGATAATGGGCATACATAATTAGGCCCAGGAAAATGCAGGCAGTTTGTAAAATGCCCCAACCTATAGTTGTTAAAAATATTGCTCTGAAATGATAATTAAATTTTAATGAAAAAATTTAAAAACGTTTACAATATAAACAATAATTGTTTGTTTTTCTACTTTTTCATTTCAGATTCCTTTTCAATTGCTAGATATCGCTGTACAAATTTTTGACCAAATGCAAATCGAGTTAAAAATCCAAATGTCGTTCCTACAATTATTATCCAAAATGAATCTCGTTTGAAGGGATTCGGATCCATGCTAAAAACCAACTTTTAATAATTATATCACGTTGATTTATTGAAAAGTTTGAATTAATTAATTATAGCATTGTTATACTCAAAAATTTTGATCCGTCCTCCTTCATCAGCGATCCTCCAGATTTCAGAAAAGCCATGAATCGAGATAACTCCTAATATTAGTACAGTTGTCAAGCCTCCAATAGTAAATATAAATTGTATCGTATCTGTCCATACAACTGCTTTAACTCCACCCTGTTAAAGGGTATTTTTTCTAGTTAATTTTAATAAATGAGTGATTAAAATAATGAAATGCAAGAAAATAAAACTTACCATACTAGTATAAATAATACAAACTATACTTAAAATCGGAGTTATTACATGTAAATTATAACCAGTGACTTGAGAAAATGCTAGCGCTGGCACGTAGATTACAACAGGAATATACCATAGAAGCTGGGCAATGTAAAGAATTGAAGTAAAATTTCGTACATTCTTTGAAAATCTTAACTCCAAATATTCATAACAGCTAGATAATCGAAGATTATAAAAAACGGGTAATATCAAGTAGGCTGCAACTGCTCCAATAGCCAGTGACGAGAAAACAGTTATAATATATTGACTCCCATGCAAATATACTTCAGTTGGGACACCTAAATATGTTATACCTGATAAGAAACTGGAACATAGACAATTATTTAGTTTTATATTTAATTAGATAAAATACTTGAATTTTATACACATATTAAATATTACCAGCTGTCTTTACCAAGAAATCTTAATGTTTGATTGGAAACATTAAATATCAAAAGATTATTTAAATTTGAAAATTTTTCATTCCATTATTTTATTTTTTAAGTTAAAAAAATTAGCACTATCTATGAAAAATTGGTGATAGAAGCTTGAACTTCAATAGAATATACGTTTTTATAAAAACAATTAATTGCAAACCTGGACAAAATACTTGCAGCTACGGGTATATAATGCATAGTTTTTCCTCCAAATAAATACTCAGATGTACTATCTTGCTTACTGAAGAGCCCAAAATAAATGCCAATGAGTAGACTTACACTGAGAAGCACACCAAATATAGTATAATCCAACCACCCAAAAACTAATAGATTAACTCCCATATTTAATTATTATAAAACTAAGAGACTACCGAGTTCAATGTGCTTTCAAGTTAATAGATTGGCTATGAATAAAAATATACGTTGAGCAGATGCATAGATTAAGGAGTGGAATAAACACTCAATAAAGTTGTAAAGATGTTATGAGTAGAAATGTATGCTATTAAGATAACGCTTACGAAATATAGATAATTGTTCAACACCTTTGAACCTGAAATTTTTGGTCGTAAAGATTGTCACTTTTTAATATAAAATTTAACTAAACTATAGATTTTATTATCTATATTAAATTTTTTATTTTAATGTCATATTTGTTTTCATGGCTCATTTTTCTTACAAATAATTTCTCATGACATGTGTTATAACGACAAGTTCGTTTGACAAGAATACGTCCTATGATATTTAATCTTTCTCTTTTTTGATTTCTTTCAAAGGAACTTCTGTATATTTTTTGTCTGGTAAAAATCTAAAATAAAAAAATTATAAATACATTTAAAAATACATTAAATATAGTATATTTTTATGAAAATAATGGATGAAAAAAGTTTGATTAAAATTTTAAATGTCAATTCGATCATTTGCTTATTTTTTCAATTAAGACAAATTTTATTCTAGTTATAAACTTGCTAGACGAGTGATCATTAGGACTTTTTTTTGCTTTTTCTACGTGTAATACGTATAAGCAAATCAGTAAAATATTTTTTCTAGTTATGGAATTTTTTTTCGATTTATTAATAAGTATTGTCTATTTTCTTTGATTTTAATAAAAACTTCGACGTTTATGCATTTAAAATTAATGGAGAAATGAATGGAACTATCATATTTTAAAGTATAATTTATACAATAGCTTTTATTTTTTTATAATAATTTGAATGAAGAATGTAAGCGAAATTTGTATTGGCTCATAAAAATAATACCTTCTAACAAGTGGTGAAACGTGTCTTGGATCAACATCTGTCATGTTAGTTTCTTTTGTAATTATACTCGTTAAAACTGCAACTATTATGGCAACAGTGGTCCCTATAAGGTGAAGAAAAAGCATAGATATTCTAAAAATGATCCATGGCTCATCTTCAGAAGTGATAGTTGAAATTGGAGTAGTTTGATACACATCTGCATTCACAGATTCATTGAAGGGAAACGAACAATTTTGTGTTGATAAAGGTAAATTCGACGTGACGATGCGTTTATGAAAAATATGCCACTGCATGCCACCAAGAAGCCAAGTCATAAAGACTATGGAAGCACATCCGCCTGTGATTGCACCTTTTTTGCCAACCCATGGCACTAAAATGCCAAGAATGAAGAATGAAAGAAGTGGTCCATCGACTGCAGTACTCAAAGTCTGAGACATTTCAAAGATCGTGCCAAGCCGTTCAATTAAAAAAATTAGTGCTACTGTTATTAAACCAATCATCACTGAAAGAAACTGAAAATTAAAAGAACATGCTGTTATATTATTTCATCAAGATGCTTTAATTAACTATTACAATTAATTTTCATTTAGTGAAATAATTTGTCCAATTGAACAAAAAACGTTACTGTACTTGAGTAAAAAATTACACTTTCAGGATTAAGTATGTTTTGAGAAGTTTCAGTAACCTAGTAACCCAATTTCATTTTTTAGTATCTATATTGGGAACATTATGATTTTACATGGGATTATTTCTACTAAAAGTTTAATGATTAAAATAGCCTTGTCATTAGAGGTATTTCCAATGAAAAATGACGAAAATGACAGTCAAATTTATAACTTAAATAAAATGATTTTTGATTATATTTTATTAGTTCTACCAAATAATAGATAAATTTACTTGCTACTGTATTGCTAAAATAAAGTAAAATTATTTCTAATGAACTTACTTTCATAATGTTGGCTGATTTTGCATCTTTTTTGGGACTATCAGCAATCCAACCGTCTAGAAAATCTTCATAAATCATTCCTGAAAGACAATTTAAGCTTGCACTCATAGTTGACAGTGCAGAACTAACGAGGCCTGCTAGAAAAATTCCAGGTAGACCGGGTATGTGCCCGACAATATCCATGACATAATATGGTACTATTTGGTCAGCTTGCTTAATTAGCTAAAAATAATTATATCTATATGTATTGCGTTATATGGAAAAGAAATTGAAAAGAAATTCAATCTTATCGATGAATTGAAAATTACATGAGTTGTGAGAGGGTCGCAATTATGATACGTTGCATATACAAGCAATCCATACAAAATACAGCACGATTGTAGAAATATAACACCAGCACCGGTTAAATATGCTGCTCTGAAATGTGCAATTAGATTCACAATAACATTTCAAAATCTCATTTTTTTTAAAGATTCATTAATTAATTTTTATAAAAATAATATATAATTATTATTATTAATTATAATTATTAATTTATTATTATTATTAATTATTATAATTAATAATTTATGTATATATATATGTTAGTATTTCATCGAAAGTATTGCAACATTCAAAAAATAAGTCACATACTTTTTAACATCTTGTTCCTGTTTGATAGTTAAGAATCTCTGAACAAATTTTTGAGCTATTGTATAGCGACTAAGACTCGAGAAATACATTCCAAGGGTCATCCCCCAAAATGAATATCTTTTAAGTGGACTTGGGTCAAAGCTAAAAATATTAGATTGATAAATAATATTTTAATGACAATTGTGATTATCGAGAAATTTCAATTTAGATGGGCATAATTAAATTTGAGTTGTAGTAAAGTGAAAAACAATAACAAAATACTGGGAAATGATTACTTGTTAATTTTTACATTATATATCTAAAAATTTCAATTAATTATAATTTCATATATATTGAAAAGTCTTAAAAGACTAAACATTTACTAAGTACGTAATTGATGATTTTACTCTATAATTTCTAATCTTCTTCCTTCCGATGCTATTTCAAATGCTCTTGATACACCACCAACATAATTGATTCCAATAATTAATATCGTAAAAAAACCTCCGAGAGTGAAAATGAATTGAATAGTATCTGTCCATACTACCGCTTTTACTCCACCCTATTTGTACAATATCAGAAGTTCCATCAGGTTCAAGTGAAAGTTAGTTTTTAAGTGATTGTTATAACATTTTTATAAATGCAGTTCAACTTTTAACAGAAGGGAATATGATAAAATTAAAAAGTATACTAATGTAAAAATATTATAAACCACTTTTACAATTTTTATAAAGTTTTCATAATTTTAGAAAAGAGCTTAAGTATTTTTAATTAATAAGTTTGTCTAAAGCAACAATATAAAATAATACAAAAAATCTTACCATAGATGTGTACGTTATACAAACAAAGCTAAAAATTGGAGCTATTAAATGGACACCGTAACCGGTGACTTGAGCAAATACAAGTGAAGGCACATAAACCACGATCGGTATGTACAGTAACAAAGAAATGGTATATAATAAAGATGCCAATTGTCTATGTTTCCTTGAAAACCGCATTTCAAGGTATTCGTAACTGCTGACAATTTGAAGATTGTAGAATACAGGCAAAAAAATATGAACTGTCGTAAGCATAGTGATCACCGCTGTACCCATGGATATAATCATCATTGCTCCATGATAATAAACCTCTGTAGGATAACCTATAAAAGTTATCCCTGATAAATAGCTGCAAAAATTTAATTAGAATTTCGGATTACTAAAAAAATTGGAAGTCACCGGAGGATAGTTGGTTCTTATAATTAGTTTTGATATTTACTGTAAAATATTATAAATATACAAACCTTGCAATAATGCTTACTGCAACTGGAAGATATGCCATACTTTTTCCACCGAATAAATACTCAGAGGCACTATCTTGTTTACTAAAAAATCCAAAATAAAATCCTATTATTAGACTCATGCCAAGCAATCCGGCGAACAAAGTATAATCGGTCCATCCAAATGTTAATTGAGGCATTTCTTGAATAATAGTCAGTACGGTACTTGAACGAGGATCCATTTTATTTTCTATTTATTTTATTCTTTTTTACTCTAAAAAACGAAAATATCTCGACATTTAACTATAGTACAGAGCATGTTTGACAAAATTTCGTCAACGGTACATCACTCACTAAATATCTTGCAGTATCAATCAGTGCACGATTAATGTACAGACTATTTGTTCAATGATTTATAAATTTAAAATTATCTTTGAAAGACTCATCAGGTACGTAAGAGTTATTTACCGAAGATATCCGATTAATAAATCATCCGAAAATTTAGTTCAATGTAAGAAACTGAGACATGTACGAAAAGCTTGTTTTTTTAATATTTTATTTTTTCATGTAATCAATTATCTAATTTATCGTTACATCTATTTCTATGCAAATGCTTAAATTAAATTAATTTATGATAATACGTCATTTGTTATAACCAACATACGCTATTTCTTAAAATCCAATTTACTTATAAAATATTATTATTTACAATTTCATCCCAGTAATATAAATTTTAACTAGAAGTAAATAATTTTTTCGATGATTTGTTGTTCTGGGAATTTTCGCACAGCTCATTTCCGTTAACTTTGTTGCCGGAAAGTTCTTTCAGTGGCACTCCAACATATGTTTTACTTGGAAGGACTCTGCGAGGTAAAGCCAAAATTAATTGGGTGAAAGCTACGAAACAAAAAACGAAAGTATACATTTCTTATGTCTTTACCTTCTGATGCACGGGATGACATGATCTGGATCTATTTTGGATATATCGGTTTCTTTAATGATGAAACTCGTAACAAGAGCTGTAACAACTGAGACGAGGGTGCCAATAAAATTAAAGTGTAGCATAGATATTCGAAATAAAAAAAATGGTTCATCTTGATTTTGATTTGTCATTGTAGTTGAATTGCTCATTAAAATTTTAAGCGTTTCATTTAGGGGAAATGAGCAGCCTTCAATGGAAGTTGGACGAGGTGTATATATGATACGGTTATTATATATATTCCATTGATTTCCAATGACGAGCATGTGCATCGTTATTAGTGAAAATATGCTACCAGCAAGAGCACCAATACGGCCTACCCATGGGAATATCATACCCAACACGAAAAGACCAAGTAGTGGACCTTCGACAACGCTTCTTATGCTTATGGAAAGTTCAAATACCGTGCCCAGGTGTTGCACTAAAAAGGTCATTGCCATTCCAATCAGACCTATTATTACTGAGATTACCTGGGATTCATAAGATTGTTGATTATTTAATTTGTAAATTCACTTAATTAAAATAAATCGTATGTTATAAATTTTTATTAGTACCTTCATGATAGTTGTAGCTCTGGCTTCTTTATTTGTATTAGAGGGTAATCTGTTATCAATGAAATCGTCGTAAATCGTCCCGGCTAGTGTATTTAGAGAAGCACTCATCGTTGAAAGAGCACAACTCGCTAACCCGGCAAGATAAACTCCAGTGAGACCTGATAAATGACCGGCTATATCCATAACGTAGTAAGGAACTATTTGGTCACTTCGCTTTACAATCTGTATAATTATTATAAGGTGTTTCAAATCTTTACATTTATTATTCTGTTTTATATATTATTTACAAGCATACCTTAGCACGAATTGGATCACAATCTTTATAATGGGCATACATAGCAAGTCCGGTAAATCCGCACACAACTTTCATGATAATCATCCCGACAGCTAGTAAAAATATAGCCCTATAGAAAGAGATAAAATATCAGTAATAAAATGAAACGTGTGATGAGTTACAATGAGACCATGAAAATAATATCAGAGTAAATGTTACTTTTTTGCGTCCTTCAAACTCGGAATAGATAAATATCGCTGCATACAATTTTGACTGACTCCAAAGTGCGTGAGAAATAATGTTGTATAACTGATTGTCATTCCCCAGAATGACTTTCTCACGTAAGGACTGAGGCTCATACTACAAATATTAATTAAAGTATTGTTGATAATTATTTCATTTTGAAGAGAAAATAGGCCTTTAGTAGTATATGTAGAGAATACTTGAATATTTCTGTGCGATTTGTTTCTTTAGCAATACTCCATACATCCGAAAATCCTCCCACTGTATAAACTCCGATGAAACAAACTACGAGAAGTCCTCCCATTGTAAACGCAAACTGAATCGTGTCAGTCCATATTACAGCTTTCACTCCACCCTATACATCAATAGTTTCGAGCATTATCAAAATCAATACTAAATTAAAATTTTTTTGTAGCGTGTTTAAAACAAATGTTTACCAGACTCGTATAAATTATGCAAATACAACACAGTAGAGGTGTGATGATGTAGAGACTGTATCCGGTAACCTGTGATAAGGCAAGGGCTGGTACGTAAATGACTATCGGTATGTACATTAGCAAAGATATGATGTACAATGTCGAGGCAAGCGTTCTTATTTGACGTGAAAATCGAATCTCTAGATATTCATATGTACTTAGAAGTTGTAGTTTGTAAAAGACTGGTAAGCATATGTAAGCTGCAGCAACACAAGTGAGCATAATGGTGAACACAACGAGGAAGTATTCTGAACCAAACTTGTATACTTCAGTGGGAACTCCCAGAAGCGTAATTCCAGATACATGCCTTGAAATGAAATAATCAAGCAGAGAATCAATATGCACAATTCTTCTATAGTTTATGATGTTATCCTAATAATGTCCAAAAATAATCAAAAACGTTTTTTTATTATAAACTTTTTAAAGTATATTCAACTATATTATTTTTGTTACAACATTGTTTATACATAACAGTGCCAAACATTTTAATACAGATTTTTGTTTTTTTTATTTAATATTTTATGTTTACCAGATTTCAGTGAAAGTAAAAATAATATTTCTAAATTATTTCTTTCGGTGCCTTGAAACTTGGCATGTAATGTAGTGTAACATTCAAATGTGATGTGATAAAAGAAATATAAATTATAGTGTAATGAGACAAATGAGGCTGGAAAAACTTGTTTATCAAACGCACGGATCATCACTAAACACCAGCGTTGCATTGTTTGTGCAATACAGTTAAAAATTTGAAATATCATTGAGATACATAAAATATAAAAACTTCTAAAGTATTGTATTAGAAACGTGAATTGTCACTTAATATCTTTGAAACTAACAGAACATTTCACTTTAACAAAAATTTATTATACGCTCACATCTAACTTTTCAACTGTACATTGCATTAATCTGTTAATTCACGAGAATTAAAGAATAATTAATAATTTTAAAAGATTCAGCTCGATAAAACTTTTAAGACGCTACTTTGATGTGGCGGTATCCTTTGAAGTGTCGCAGTCGAAGAACTGGCGTCACAGGGGAATCGTAGAAAGTTAAAATCTTCCAAACACATTAATTTCAAAGCGTGAATACTCTTGGAAAGTCTTGTAATATACTACTATCAGCGAGTGATTTTGAAATTAATAACAATCAATACGAACCCAGCCAACATACTGATAGCAACTGGAATGTAGCCCATAGTTTTGCCACCAAATAAATATTCTTTCATTGTATTTTGTTTACTGAAAATTCCAAAGTACAATCCAACAATAAGACTTGATGCTATCAAACTTCCGAAAAGTAAATAATCTATTATTCCAAGTGTCAATTCTTGAAATTCATGCAATGTTCGAAGAGTATTATTCAACGTCATTTTTATACTTTACAGCACAAAATTGTCAACAAATCGAATATGAAATACTGTTGAAAGAAATATTTTTCCCGAGCAATAATATGATTCAATGTGTGTAACGTTCCTTTGACAAGTGTTATCTATGTAACAAAGTCTAGACAATACTGATAGGTTGATTGAATCGAGATACCGGCATTTTTATCAGTAGGCACCGGCTCCACGGGGTTTAGCTAATATATGGAGCTAGACATCTGCGCCGGAGACTTGAGAGGAAAATTTATAACACAACTCATGATTCAAGTTTGTTAATCAATATTTTTTTTAAATATTTCAAGTAAATACATAAGTGAATGAAGTGAAAAAAAACATTATCGAAGTCTTAAATATAGACAATAATTGTATGTACAGATGAAAACTTAAGGTATAGTACGTAATGATGATTTTCGTTATTTACAAACTATTATACACGGAAATGATGATAGGATTCGAGCTCAACGTGTGGGCTGACTTTTTTTACAGTTATATCAATTTACACACTGCCTGATTAGTTATCTGTTGTGGCGCCAACTTTTGATGCTTGCTTACGCATATACGAATATAAAACATACATTTTTATTAGTCTCCTTACTGATAAGCTTTATACGCAAAATAAATTCAACAATTACTTTCATTTACATTCTTATTCCATTCACGTTCGATCGTAAATACAAAAAAAAAACACGTATCTGCGACACAGGCATATTTATGATCAGATACATATCAATTTTTTTATTACAAATTGTTTGTTTTTGTCATATTACAAATAAGAAATATTCAATACAGTACCATTTCCAATTGAAAAATTTGAACAATAAAAGAATTAGAAGTAGTTTGGTAAGGTTCTATTATCTATAATCACTGGATTCGCTCATCCCGTACGACGCTGAGGAAATAAAACTTTCGCGTTCGTTCGTTTCTTAAAAGTCTAAAAAGGCCGCAACGACATGAAATAATCTTAAAATGTGAGCCGCACCTTACGTACTTTATCTAAGCACGTTTTCAGAAAGGTCACTGAACGAAGACGAATCATCGATCGGTTGATTTCGATACACATAAGCCCATCCTCTCCCCTCTACATATATTTTTTGCTCCTTGCGCGCACGCGGCGACGTAATATTCGGTATTTACAAGCGCACACAAGAGTCGGAGAGAGAGAGAGAGAGAGAGAGAGAGAGAGAGAGAGAGAGAGAGAGAGAGAGAGAGACAGACAGAGAGGTCCACAAGCGGATCAAAGTTGCCGCCGAGGCGCCCGCCTCTCTCTCTCTCTCTCTCTTCATGTTTTTTTTTCTTGCTCGTTCTCCACTCTCGCTTGAAGCCTGAAACATCACTGGTGGATCGTTCGTCCCTGATTTTGGGGTTTCTGGTTTTAAAAACTAGTTCTAATCTACGCGCTTTCTCTCTCTCTCCATCTACTGCTATACTTGCTACTGCTATTTACATATTTACAACGTTCGCTCGATCTCTGCGCCTCTGATCAAGGAAATATATTAGCTTTTTTTTTCCGTCTCTCTCTCGAGAAATCATCGCGCTCGCGCGATCATCAACAACAGTCGGATTCGTTAATGCGTGAAAGTGCCTCGTTGGTAACAAGCTTTTTTCTTTTTCGGCGCATCTCCTTTGATCTAAAGTCGACGTGATACGGCAACTATTAATAGTATATTACGATACGTGTGACTGAAGTAGCCCATCGTTGCACGACGTGATATTATCGGCTGAGCACGAGCGAGGGCGATAATCGCGCCGTCACAAATACCGTACATAATATAGTACTGACGATCTTAAATCAGCACTTACAGTTCATCTTTCTGTGACTGCAGACCGGTCAGTTTTGCACCGTAACTCGAGTGATTAGGACTTCTAAGTAAGGTGCAGAAAAGAACTGCTCAAGTCACGGATATACGTTACTTAAGTGCTTAGTTAAGCTACGTAGTGCTATAAATCCTTTGTTTTTTCTTTTTCACGAAGGTTTATGAGCTAATATTTTTTTATTTTCTATTTAGAATCATTATGTTAAATTTTAATCTCAGTTTTAAAATATGAGTAAACACCTGATAGGAAAACAGTTTCCACGAAGTAATAACTTAAAGGATTTTTGCAATATTTGGATCTGTTTCGTATAATAACGTAAGCAACATCAAAGGCTCAATATAACGTTCACCTATCAAAGAAAAAATTAATTACAGTCTGCACAGTCATTGAACTTATCGAGAAACGTAAACAGCGAACCACAAAAGCAAAACTTGACACACAGCAACGACACTAAAACTAAGTCCAGTCACGTTTGCCTTGTTGAAGAGAATGCCGAATCGAAGACCCACACTTCTGCGTAGATGCGAGCGTAGCAATGGATTTTTCATGCTAGTCGGTCCACACTGCATTAGGGGTGCATCCCAAAGTCCCTTGTCCTTGCCACCCAAAAGTAGCGTGTATTGACCGTACCAATCGACACTGATTCTTGCACGAAGACCAAGAGTCGACGGCGAATCTAACGAGTGTGGCACGCAACCAGATGGCCAGCTCGAGAGTCTTGGAACTTTCGAACCTTCAACCAAAACAGCTCCGCATCGCCGCGCTGTGCTAGCGTCGCCGATAATCAACAGACTCTCAGCTACGTGTAAGTCAAGCTCAGTAGTGCCAGTCGGCGTTGGAGACTGCAAAGGTCTCTTAGTCGTGTGCTCGCGTCGTTGGTTTCCACGCAACATTTGTGCGAACGAGTCGGCCATAGACGGCTGCGCACTGTGCAGCAAGTGTCGGTAATAATCTATCTCATCCAATTCTCGCTTCGGCCTTGGCGTTTCTTTCTTGTTGAAAATTTTCTTGGTTATCTCGTGAGCCTTCTTGCTCTTCTTCTCGGTACTTCTTTTGTCTCTCGACATTAACTGAGCGGTGATAAAGTCTTCGCCTGCGTTGTCACCGAACGAAGAGTCATGACGACGGTGACGACGTGCACGTTGAACGTAACTTCCTGCAGCTGTGATGCTGTAGAGGAAATTCACGCAACGTGGGTCGTTAAAGAAATCCCAACGTCCTGTCCATAACTTGTCACCTCCATATACGCGTAATTGACGCCGAAGGAAAACACCACCTGGGTGACTTTCGCATGATGTACTTATCCATGAACCACCGAGGATTGCGGGTAAAGCGACTACTTCGTGAAGGAGAGGAGGACTATTTTCGGTGCCACGAGATATTGCGCCACAGATTGGACAGTTGTGAATCTATCAATTAAAAAATCATTTATTTTATTAGTACAAGGTGACATTTTCGTATTGATCTAAATTCATCAATTTATCGAAACAAGAATTAAATGTCATCCATCGATTAATTTCAAAGCAATAATTACAACTCGATCAAAGAAAAAATTTAAAGAAGCAATATGACAAACGCATAGATGAAAAAATTTTGTTTGATGGTTTCTCGAAACAGTAACCTATTGTTCTTTCACATCAAGATTAAAATCACAAGCCTGAAGATTCCTAGATGAATATTCAAGGTATGTTGGATGGATTGATAAAATCAAAAAACTTCATGAGTCATGTGACGGCTGTCAGATCTCTACTCTACCCCGTCCTTTCATAGGTCTCATCTTCCGATACATATATTTCCAACTAAAAATTTTAGTGGACAGTTGGTTTAAGACTCAAATTAGATCAGAAAAGAATTTTAAGAAATAATAGATTCCTTGATTACTTGATTTTTTTTATATTCGCAAAAGATATTTAAGTATAATAGCCGTATTAAATGAAACAAATTCGACTTAGACCATCTGTGCCAACATAACATCTTTAAGAATCTCCTCCCTCCTCCCCAACAGTAGTATTACGTTACAACTTCATCGCTGCAGGAAAAAAAAACATGCACCGTGGGGTATTTTTCCTCAAAATCCCGATGAAAAAAAATTTGTCGGAACATATGGACTGTGAAAACTGAAACTAGTCATTTTTCGGAAATGTTCAGAGATGTCGTCACCGCTACAGCAACTCATGATATTTTGTGCGCGACCATATGGATGAGTTTTCCGTATTAACGTAGAGGGGCTGTAGACTAATATTATTTCAGGCCACGTGTATACTTTTGAGATATACTCGGTATGATCTAGAACGTGCTACAAACGGTTGATTTAGGACAAAAATCACCTTGTTTATTTACCTCTCATTCATTGCTTCCATAAATCGATCGAGATTATTGTAAGTTTTCAGGAAAAAAACTCACCGTATCAGTTCTAAGAAGAGCTATAGGTTGAAGCGAACTCGGTCTATGTGATCGCTTGGACGCTTGGTCCTGTGGCAAAGCACCAAGATAAAGTTCAACCCTTGTCTTGTCAGCGGCGCCAAACTTAGCTGACCTAAAACCAGTAGGTTTTCTCTGCACCCGTAGGAGTTTCAGTTCATCGAAGTCGATGCCAAGTGGTGCTAGGCAATTGACTGTCTTGCTGCGAAGAATACCACTGTGTATACCACTACTGACTGCAGACTGTCCTTGAAGGGAATTGTAACGGGGACCTTGCCAGAACCGTTCTGGTGCTCGCTCGTAAATCAGTTGTGCGACGTAGGGTCTCCAACGGGGTTGGGGTCCACAGGATACGTTTACGCGATGACCTAGTTTGTGAGCGACCTACCGGGAAACAGACGAAATTCTGTTTAGGTTAGAAAGTTTCCAGGACTTTTGGAAACTCATCTATTGTTGTCGAGATAATTTCCGCGAGCTTTGACGAACATTTGGAACTAAAGTCCTAACCGACGAGACAAAAGCTGTTGAAAAAATCAAAGCTATAACAATCGTTAATTTTTTCCTGAGGCCTTTTCTTCTAGAACCACGTTTAACAGGAAATATAAAGAAAACTAACCTGTCGATTAAGCGGCGATACGTGTACTGTGTCGAGATGGTATCTGGCTTCAGTGGCACCAGGCGTATTGAGCGAGTTGTCGTGAAGTTTAATGACACCGCGAGCCGTCACAGTATGCGTCGCAATGCTGCATGACTCCTCTGCGTAGTAATGCCTCATTAATACGAAGGTACCATTCTCGAAGAATATGTACTTGCGAATTACAAATTCTGGTCCGACACGGATTTCACATCTGTAAAATACAAAATATTGATGGAAGGGTGTTTAGTGGAATTGATCATGGACGAGAATGACATTCTTATAAATGGACGTTTGATATCTAGACGCTAGCAGTAGTATTTTCGTAGGTTCAATCAAACATGGTTTTGAGTATCTTTTCGTACCGGCGTATAAAACCGTACATTCAGCTTCGTATCGGTTGATGAATTTTTCACGGTGCATATATCACCAGATGAAAACGTATCGGATACAATAGTAACAAGAGAAACGCGAGATACAATGTGATGCTTCACGACTCATCGTAATTTTAGACGAAAGTGAGAAAAAAAGTCATCGATCACTGTAGAAGTTTTCCTCCTCCTCCTCCTCCTCCGAGCTCCGTCTAGGCGACACATGGAGAGAAAAAAACAACGCACGGCATCGTCCTTCCCGAGAGTGGAGTCGGGGAGACAGAGGGAGGGGGAGAGAGAAAGAGAGAGGGAGATTGAAAGCAGGTCCTGCACGCGGTGCTGCTGGTTTTTCGGGGAAGCGAGAGATCGGAGCGAAAACTTTCGAAGACGAGCTCCTTTGACGCCAAAGCTTTGTTTAGTTTTTCCTTTTCTGTATGTATACCTGACGAATACGGGGAGATCACGAGGGGGAAACGAACTAGCGCAGAGGCTTCTCTATTTTTTTATATACCTGCGAGCGAGCGGCCAGCTGAAACTGCTCTGGACATTCGAAAGCCCTATTACCGAAAGTCGCTCTCTTGGTTTTTTAGATTGCTTTTTCCAAAAGAGGAAAGTGTATAGACAAAAGAATAAGTATTCCCGTTTTTTTTTAAATTAACCTCTACACGGGGAAGAGGATTAACTTTTATTCTTTGTAATAATCTCAATCGATACACAACGATGACTTTGAAAACAATCTAGTAGTCGCGAGACTTGTTTCTTCTCACACGAACGCTCGGTGTAATAGGCGTAAAAATGAAATAGAAAGATAGAAAGAAGCCATTAAGCAGGGGTTTCGCTGGAACGTAAAGAACCGCTCATCGAATGTATAATTTGCGGCGTATGACCTATTGAGACCCAGAACGCATCGCGGTCCATTTATCTTGGCGCGTGATTTTCCAAAGTACCGCGGCGAGGACGGTATATATCAAATAAAAATCGACGGCGATGCTTCGATTATCAAACGTAAATTCTTGTTTTCTATGTGACGCACGTGATCGAGGAATGTTAACGCGGCATTGTTCCGTACGACGTGCGCCGCGTTGCAGTATTCAACTGGCGACGTTGATTTCTCGTTGCGCATGCAGCGCAATTATCTTTTTTTTCTTGTCTTATTTCGTATGCGCAGCACGCGTCGAAGTTGCCTCTTTACTCGTGAAACGCGAATGAAAGTTTAATGGAGTGAGAGAGTGAACTTTCGTTGAAATTGATTTCTGTTTGACACATTCCAATTGAGATTTACTTTGAAACGATCAAATGACAGTTGTATTAATGCGCCGATTGAAAAGGGAAAGCAATGTGCGTGTACACAAGTGTTCAATTGAAAGCGTCGAGTATAGGTGCCGCGGTTAATTTATTTCAATAAAGCGAAATTGTCTGCCGTGCGCGATATGGATGCAGTCTCTTAACTCGCGACAATTTGTATCTGTTTCGATACGACAAAAATTGAGACGATATCTCGGAACGCGCAAACCTCGAGAGAACTTTCTCTCCAGCTAAGAGTCATTGGAAATTTGAAAATAAAAAATCACACTCACTCTTGGGATATCCAAACAGCGTGGAGCCTCGTCGCAGACTCATCCACAATGGTAGCCCGATCTTCGTTAACGATCTCTCGTATAGCGATGTCGCATTGGTCCTCGCCGACTTCCATAGGATCCCAGAGCGCCAAGGTACCTACAAAAAACCAATATGCAGCTGGACTTAGAATAAATTATATTGGTTTTTTTACACGTGACTCGTAGGAATGCGAGTATGCGCGCTTTTAATTTGGATTGTGCATGCTAATAATCGAATGCCAGCGCGCACGGCATCCTTTTTGGCCCGTCACCCTTCGACAGATTGATAGAACAGGCACGAGCTTTTTATCCCGGCATGCGTGTGATGCATATCGATTTGTTTCATGAGTTACGACTGACAAGACACTTTTTCCCCCTCTCTGATCAACTTGGCGGCCAACGATCTTTTTCTAGATAAGACTGTAGCTTTCAAATATCGCAGCGCTTAATCACTGGTCGTGTAAAGATTAAAATTATAAAGAACGCTGCTTTAACAAATTGGTTTTTCGGGCTGATAAATAAGACCCGCATGTCGGCAATATAAGAAATTAAGAAAATAAATAAATAAAACGGACTCGCATTGTTCTTCAATCTAAACACGCGATCTGCAGGAGAGAATAGGAACGGGGAAAAATCACCCGCTGAGTTTCGCTGACACACGATAAACAACTTCCATATTGGATTATCTTTCATTCTGGTTCGCGGATTCACATTTTGCCGGGAAAAATCTCGGAACAGCTTTTATACGAAGGCGAGGAGAAATAGGCTTTTTCTTCTGTGCGAGGGCGGCAAATGTGTGACGAAGCTAAAAGCGTTCCGAGCGTGAATAATCAATTCTCAACGTCAGGCTCAGGTGTGCTATGTTGCTGCCCTTGGGCTTTTTTTTGAGAAAAATCCACCGCGGCCAAATTTTGACTGTTGCTTGGGGAAAACAGTGTGACTTTTTGGTGAAAACTGACAAAAGAATGAGTGTGACAAAAAAGAAAAGGTAAACCCCAGGTTTCCATGGAAAATCTTATGACGTTTGTGGTAAATAAACGGCGAACGAACTGTCCCTTTACCGCAGGAACTACTGGACGTTTTGTCTTCAGTTATGAGCTTGGAAATTTTAAGCATTGTAAACAAATTTTTTTAAATCAACATCGCAACAATTCACCTCGATCGAGAAATCCGGTAGATGAAAGAGTTTTTAGCAAACTAGACAAAAAAATGCTCTAACCCTTTGCCTCTTTCAATTCTACTTCTCACTACTCGTTCAGTCGATCGGATCCTTTCAAATATCACATCCATGTAATAGCTTTTGTATTGAATTAGTGGATTTTGATGGCGAGAAACATCGGGATCGATCGTGATTTCCCTCTCTCTCTCTTTTTTGTGTCGTAATACAAAGGTGATCTCACACACAACGGCATTCGTGAGAGTCGTAAAAGCGTATTGTTTGGCTAAAAAACACATCGTGCGAGGGTATGAACGCGCACGTCTTAGATTTCCAAGAGGGGGGATTTTCTTCTAAGAAAAATAGGGGATACATTCACAAGGTGTAATTACGCGTTATAAATTGTCGAAAAAATAGAGAAAGAAAAACAGGGAATCTCTTTGCGGCCTCTCTTGCGGTCGCAGTGCACACAAAAGACGTGGTATACGAAAATTTTTAATTTATTCCGCTTACTTGCTTCTGTATATGTGTACGCGATTAGATATTAGAACATAATGGCTGTCCTATCACAATATTTCGTTAGGGCTACTGAAACAACTGTTGAAAAACGGTAGTTGCAACCTGGCGTGTCCGAAGAGAAAAATTTCACGTGAAACTCAAGGTAAAGCAAGTCGGTTACAGGATTGAATGGCTATACGCGAAAGCAAACACCACAATGTGCGCGCCTCGAAAAAATTGCAGTAGCCAGATGACGCGCGCGCTAAGCAGCTTCGAGAGGACCTCGTTAGCCTGATGCTCCTCTCTACTGCAAAAAGAGAAGAAGAAAAGAAGCCGCGCCCGGCAATTTGGCGTCTCTCGGTGGTCCAGTCGAGCCGAGTGTCACACATGCAGGGGCCCATATGGCGTTGACTTTTTGGGGGCATATTAAGTGTCTTCGGAATGCCGAAAAACGGCCCCTTTACCAGAGATTTAATATAGCGGTTCTGGAATTACGCGCGACCCCAGCTTGTGGGCGGGACGCTACTTTTTTCTGTCGTCGAACTGATGGAGCAGGAAGGCTAAAACGCTGAAATATAGGCGTGAGACTTGTCGCGGATTTTTTTCTTCTGCAAAAGGGTGCTTCTGAAAAAAGGTCTCAAGCTAATGGACTGACTCGAGGCACGTCTCTCTAATGCCAACGTGTTTATCATTCCATGATTACATGATTTACAATTCGTCTGGATTTTTATTCCGATTATAACTAACGCCACATTTTTTTCTTTTATTCATTGCGAAAGAACGTGTCAATAAAAGTGCGAAAATGATAAAAATCAAAGAAAACGATCTCCACGAAATCTATCCGATTTCATAAAAAAAAAAAAGTATTGGCGACAGCGAAAAATATCCATAAATACGAAATTAAAATTCAACGAGAGAGAGAGAGAGAGAGAGAGAGAGAGAGAGAGAGAGAGAGAGAGAGAGAGAGAGAGAGAGAGAGAGAGAGAGAGAGAGAAACGCACGCAGTACGATCTCTTCGAGAAAAACGTTAAAAAGAAGAAGCCGACCTATAGGTGCCGCACGTAAGATCGACCTCGGAGATTATGAAGCGTCGTCGTCGTCGACAAAAAAGCATAAAAATCGGCAACGCGTAAAACGAACCAACGATAATCCCCTGATAGCAGACGATGAGTTACGAGCTTGCGGCTTTTTTTAGGCAGCCGACGAAATTATGGAAATAACATTTTCCTATATTGTAGTCATTGTCGCACACGTGCACTAGCTTTGATCCTGCGAACCGATTTCTTCGTGGTTTGTCATTTGACGAACCTTAGATCCTTCGTAGTAACCGTTGAAAATAAATATGTACGCATCGCGACTTTGGAAGTATAAAATATGCTTTGAGCGAATCAATGAAATGCCATTTCCACTACAATACCACATTCTTTTTCCCGTACGAAGTCCTATAATACTTCCTATCTCACGTGCTATCATCACTACGCGAGATCTCCTCGAATTCCTTTTTTCTCGGCACGCGGAGACACTTTTCCCCTATTGTGCCTCTTGATTCTTTCGATTGTTATTCACACGTGCAAGAGGAAGCGTGAAGTTATGCGATGAAGGTGCCGGGGATACCATACATATACATAAACACGCGCGCAGAAAGTCATGCATTCGCAAGTTATCTACATTTCGCGAAATAAATCGGCACGATCTCGACGGAGGACCCTGTACGACAGAATGCTTTAGGTGATGCTGATGGGATGATTCGCGCGTGCAGATTTTTTTTTTCGAGAAATTTATCTGTTATGACCGGACGACGGATTAAGTTCTGAACGTACGTGATCAACATTTTTAATCGGCCGGCTTTGATTAATTGTCGATAATGAAAGAAAACACTTATTCGAGATGTATATTTTAATGTGTCAAGGTACTTTTTTAAATTAATTAGACTGATTAGTTTTTTTTTAATAGACGTTGAAAAATTGGAAACTTTTTCAAAAAAGCAATTGATTTGGAAGATAAGCTTCTTATTCGAATGTGTAAAAACAGCAAGAGTATTTTCATGCCAGACGGCCTTTGCAATGTAGTATGAGTAAGCTTACGCGAGTACAAACCACAGCAGCGTAAACAACGCAAAATACATCAATAGCGAACGCGCGTTATATAATAGATAATAACAAACGTGCTACCACAATGATTGAGCGTGTGTATCAAATGAGCACGCATTCGCGGGGCCCTCACAACACAAACAGCCGCGCGATCGAATAACAGAAAAACTCACCGGCCGCGTAAAGGCAGACAGTAAGCTGCAGAATCCTCGAGAAATCCATTTTAATTTCACACAGTCTGAATTACCAATGACCGAAAGAGCAGGATACGCGCAAACCAAGTGACGGCCAAAAAAACAGAAACAAATTCACAGAAACTTGTGGGCGAGAGGTGCAGCACCAGCACAAATCATCTTCCGTCCGTCGCTTTGCCCGTCGCAAGTGCTACTAAAAACAGTCGGCTCCCTCATACGGCGGCCAAGTCAAAAGCACGCCGCTCTCTTTCTCTCTTTCTCTCTCTCTCTCTCTCTCTCTTTCTCCCTCTCTTCGACCTACCCTATAGCAAGCGCTTTTTAGTTTGGCTTTCTCCCCACTACTCTGCTCTCGCCTCTCGGACCCCGAAAAGCAACTCGTGGGAGAAGGTCCCGCTGCGCGCGCGCTCGTGACTCGAGGGTTTTGCTTACGCTTTTTAGTCCAGGCAACAGAGGCAAAAAAGGCCTGTTTCAGACAAAAATTCCGGGATGGGTTTTCTCAACGGAAATCGCTTCAGTACAATGTAAATAGAAACTCTTGATAAAATGCAACTCCTAATTTATTGTCAGATTTTTTTTATGAGCGTTCAAAGTTGACGAAATATGGTTTTTTCAATCTGCAAGCCACGGTATGCATTTTAGCTGAAAAAGTTTCGTATAAAAGTTGTAGGCAATAGCAAAAGCTACAATTTGAGCTGTCGTGCAATTTTTTTCGTTTGTTAGTTATTGAAAAAAGCCCCAAAAACCCTTAAAAATGGCCATTTTTACTATATCGAATATTTATTGCAAAAAGAACTTTTTTTAATGTTTATGACTCTTAAAAGAAAGCTCTTGTGATTCTAAAAAAAATGAATCGTCGCACGACTATTTAATTTTATTAGTTACTGATATATTCTAATTAGTTAATTAAGAGACGTCCAAAGTACGGGGCTGTAAATTTTTTTTGGCCGAAGATATCGAGTTGTAAAACAACTCAATCTCTTTGTCAAAACGTCAATTTTAATAAATGAATGGGAACGAATCAAAAAATTAATTTGCAACCCCTAAATTTTGACTTTATAAAAGTGCACCTTTTTTCTTTCATAAACAATTAGAATTGCGGCTTCCCTATGCATTATAGAGATTTCTTTTTTAGAAATTCACATATCTGAGATCAAGGTGCATATTTTGAAGAAAAAAAAATTGTGTTTCGACCAATAGGAGCCGAGATAATTTTTTTTTTTGTTTAAATCGCCATTGTTGTAATAATGAAAATTAACAAATCGGTCCAAGGGCATTCGATCGTTATTAAGTTATATTTTCTCATTACGATACAAGGCTTTACATATTTTGGCTTTTTAACAATTAAAATGACGTTTCATTTCCAGCACGAGAAAAGCCAAAGGCCGGAGGCGGTGGTGGGGGGTCTCCCTCGCGCGCTTGGAAATACTGAAAGTCCGCGTTCAAATCGACGCGCTTCGCGAAAATCAGGCTTATCTCGCGAACTATTGCATCAAATTCGATCATTTTTTTTTTTAATTTGGGGTAGCTTCAAAATTTATTGAGATTGGTGTAGTTGTAATTAGTATATTTAGTGCCAATCGTTTATTATTAACTTAATTGAATTCATACATATCAGTGTATGTATAAATTCCAATTAATTATTACTTGCTATCCGTAAATATGGATAAGGATAAATAATAATCAATATATTTTCAATTATTAATAACAATATTTTAATTTATATGCATACGTAGGCTATAGTTTACATGATTTCTTATTTTCTAATTGTACCTAGTTCTTTTCGGCGCAGACTCATTTATTTCGTTTTCATTGCATTCTTCATTTAACATTACTTCTAAAGACTACTTAAATTATACTCTTCGTTATCAATATTATCATATTCATGTATTTCTTCTACGTTCGTACAATTATCCCCGTAGCAAAATCCACACAAGCGAGAACATTTGAGGCCATGTTTGCGGCAGCTGCACGCAGCTTTACAGCCTTTTTGGCATTTACAAGATATTTTTTCTGATACTTCGGGAGGTATCATTGGCTCTGAAGAATGAGTGGGTTCCAAAGTATTTTCGACTTTATGCCACCCATACTTCATAGGATTTAAATCATTACCAAGCCACGATTGTATTTGCAAATAAGCATATATATATATATATATATATATATATTCCAAAAAGGTTGTGCAGCAAACATGGCCTCAAATGTTCTCGCTTGTGTGTATTTTGCTGTACGAATGTAAAAGATATTGACAATGAAGAGTATAATTTAAGTAGTCTTGTAGAAGTAATGTTAAATGAAGAATGCAATGAAAACGAAATAAATGAGTCTGCGCCTAAAAGAACTAGGTACAATTAGAAAATAAGAAATTATGTAAACTATAGCCTACGTATGCATATAAATTAAAATATTGTTATTAATAATTGAAAATATATTGATTATTATTTATCCTTATCCATATTTACGGATAGCAAGTAATAATTAATTGGAATTTATACATACACTGATATGTATGAATTCAATTAAGTTAATAATAAACGATTGGCACTAAATATACTAATTACAACTACACCAATCTCAATAAATTTTGAAGCTACCCCAAATTAAAAAAAAAATGATCGAATTTGATGCAATAGTTCGCGAGATAAGCCTGATTTTCGCGAAGCGCGTCGATTTGAACGCGGACTTTCAGTATTTCCAAGCGCGCGAGGGAGACCCCCCACCACCGCCTCCGGCCTTTGGCTTTTCTCGTGCTGGAAATGAAACGTCATTTTAATTGTTAAAAAGCCAAAATATGTAAAGCCTTGTATCGTAATGAGAAAATATAACTTAATAACGATCGAATGCCCTTGGACCGATTTGTTAATTTTCATTATTACAACAATGGCGATTTAAACAAAAAAAAAATTATCTCGGCTCCTATTGGTCGAAACACAATTTTTTTTTTTTCAAAATATGCACCTTGATCTCAGATATGTGAATTTCTAAAAAAGAAATCTCTATAATGCATAGGGAAGCCGCAATTCTAATTGTTTATGAAAGAAAAAAGGTGCACTTTTATAAAGTCAAAATTTAGGGGTTGCAAATTAATTTTTTGATTCGTTCCCATTCATTTATTAAAATTGACGTTTTGACAAAGAGATTGAGTTGTTTTACAACTCGATATCTTCGGCCAAAAAAAATTTACAGCCCCGTACTTTGGACGTCTCTTAATTAACTAATTAGAATATATCAGTAACTAATAAAATTAAATAGTCGTGCGACGATTCATTTTTTTTAGAATCACAAGAGCTTTCTTTTAAGAGTCATAAACATTAAAAAAAGTTCTTTTTGCAATAAATATTCGATATAGTAAAAATGGCCATTTTTAAGGGTTTTTGGGGCTTTTTTCAATAACTAACAAACGAAAAAAATTGCACGACAGCTCAAATTGTAGCTTTTGCTATTGCCTACAACTTTTATACGAAACTTTTTCAGCTAAAATGCATACCGTGGCTTGCAGATTGAAAAAACCATATTTCGTCAACTTTGAACGCTCATAAAAAAAATCTGACAATAAATTAGGAGTTGCATTTTATCAAGAGTTTCTATTTACATTGTACTGAAGCGATTTCCGTTGAGAAAACCCATCCCGGAATTTTTGTCTGAAAATTTCTCTGTTGCCTGGACTATTTCGGGTCTCATGTAACACACGCGGACTCCCTGTCACGGCAAAAATCTTTTCTTCAAATGCTGAATTTTAATATAATATCCTTGAGCGCGAGGACTACTTGGCTAGTTTACGACGCTGCTGCACGGGAATTGTTTTCATTTTTTATTTACTCGAGGCTTCTCCAACGAAAGGAAGGACGCTGAAATATTAGGGAGCGACGCATACGAATTTATTTGGTCAGTTCTTTTTCTCTCGTTCGTTCGAGGGGGGGATAGTTGAACTACCCGTGAATGTGTCTATAAAACAAATAATTTTGACGCATGACACATGGCTTCAGAGTTACATGCTTCTCATATTTTTTTCTTTCAATAAAGGCTGTCTAATCTGTTTGCATATATTTTTGACGAAGGATATTCTTTGCTAAATAAAACGAGAATGCTTTCTAAGCTCTTTTGTATTTGAAGCTACAATAAATTATTATATAATTGTAGACGACATGGGAAATATTTTTTTTTAAGTTAAACACTTTAACAATGATTTCCGTTTGGATTATTATGATTAAATCATTCGAAATAATGCATTGTAAAAAAATTATATATTCCTTTTTCACAGCAAAGATAACTCATTTTCAAAAATAACGTTTGCAGTAAAATAGAACTATCAAAATTTTTGCCTGAACGGAATGCCAAATAAATGATTGTATCATAATGTATTTAAAAAAAAAGCAATTTTAAAATGAAACAATAGTAGCAAAAATTAAGTTAAACTGTAGAAATGCTAATCTAAAGAAGCTTGCCAAATCGATTATAAATAAACTTTATTTTTATGTATCCATTTTAATAAATATTACATCTATAAAACTTATACTGGAAGAAAAAACTTGAATTTTTTCTGTCTACAAATGAAAATTTGTCAATAACAGGTTTACTGATAACTTGAAGAAAATTATTCGCTATGCAATTGATATAAAAGCCTATACTAATATGAAATATATGAAAGAGTTTTTTTTAATTTTCATCAGACAAAATAACTAAGAAAATACATAACGGTGAGAAAAAAGTGGGCTTCAATCGTCCGGAAGAAAGTAGACCAAGAAAAATGTCAAAGAAGATATAGGCAATATAGGCGCCCAGCGGCTGAGAGAGAGCGCCTAGCGAAGTCACATCTGGCATTGAGCTTGCAAAGAGGGAGATTTAGGACACGTAGCGAGTGCTGCACGGCAGCCAAACGACCTCTTTCTTCCTGGCTCCAGACAACGCTTGCGTTGGTCCTAACTTGATACCCGCTGTGCGAAGGGTCCCCATGACTGCCTCTCGCGCGCATCCTCTCGCGCTTAGATTTATATAACCCCCGTCGACAGTCAGCCTCCGTCTGTCTCTCTTTTTCTCAGTGGGTACCATGCTACTCGAGCACAGCCGAAGAAATCACATCTCTTTTTTTCTCGCTGTCCATGCCTCTCGACTGTCTGACGATGTGCATATGAGGTCGCGTAGGGAAAATAGAGCTGGGAAGGCAAGCAATATATGAGATTC